GTGATCTCAGGGGCCTTCTACGGCCCTCGGGCCGGTCGTTCCCCACCCCTGGTCTTAAGGCTCCGGGGGTGGCAGAGTTCCCTGCGGGCTCCTGCGACAAAGTAACTGTCTGACGCTTTGCCCTCCCAGGTGTCCATCGCCGTCGGGCTCGCCGCCTTTGCCTGCGTGCTGCTGGTGGTTCTCTTTATCATGATCAACAAGTACGGCCGACGGTCCAAATTTGGAATGAAGGGTAAGGTGGGCCTTGCATTGGCCAGGGTCTCATGGGGGCGGGGTGGGGCTCTCTTCAATGCTGTTTCACTTCCCTGGCTCTCGGAGGCAGGGCCTCTGTGATGCCCTGAAGCAGTCCTCCTCCCGCCTGCACCTTTACTGTGTTGGTAATGATGGACTGAAAGCTGCGCTGGGATCTGTGGGGACCAGCTGGGAGCCTCTGGTTTTGCTGGGACAGCCGGGCTGGTGCATGAGGGTGATTTGGGAGGGAAGTTGCATTTGAGAGCCAATGAGAGGACTGGTTTCTTTACATTATCAGAAGGCAGATGAACTCCTTGTTTGAGTAACTTGGTTCTTTTCTTGCTGCCCCATGCGTGGGGTGGTGGCGAGAAGGTCCAGCAGGGTTAGATGGAGGGTGGCTCCACGCGGAGTCCCAGGACGGGTGCCACGGGTCACCTGACTGCCTCGATGCTGGCCAGCTTCCGAGACCCACACACTCCACCCTGTCACCGCAGGGTGGGGCGAGGATGTGGCTCTACGCCGAGGCTTGGGTGGGGAAGTGGCACGGAGGGGTTAACATGGTGAATTAGCGTTGCATCTGCTGGGTCCCTGGGCCCCAGGGGTGGATCTGACCCAATGGCTCAAAGGAGGCTGGGCCCTTGAACTGCAGAAACTTGACTTTCAAGCTACACTCTGAGCCAGGTTTGCTTTATGGCTGATGTTAGATGGGAGATGGGCAGGGTGGCTGATGGGAGGTTCCAGGAGCCATCGGGGGGCCCAGCTGGGGTTCAGGTTGGGGTCTTCTGGGGAGATCGTGGGAGCCAGAGAGATGCATTTCTTTGCATCTGCACGTGACCTGGTGTCTGTGGGGAAAGGGGGTCCTGGCCTTGGGCTCCGGGACTGACGGCAGGTGTGTGCGTGGGATTCACGGGGACAGTGGTCCCGGGACTCACATGCGAATGCTTGCGTGTTCATACCCGGCGGGCGGAGCGGGAGGTTGGAAGGGACTGGTTCGTAGCTTTCCTCATATTCTCAAAAGGTTCACTGACTCCCCTAAGAGCCCAGAACACTGCTGTGTAGCAAGAGACACCCACAGAAACACAGGAAGGCAGGGAACTTGGGGCGCCGCCCGGCCTCCCAGAAGTCGGGGCCTCTGCGCTCGCTTTCTGCCCCTGACTAAGCTCAGCAAATCGCAGCCCGGCCAGTCAGGTTTCCCCGATCAGATGAAATATTTGGACCAAGAGAAACGTGTGCTGGCAAATGATAAAGAAGGGACAGAAGTCTGGCCTGCTGCCGTTTGACTTCAACACGACCAGACCCCCGTGGGCACCTTGATTGCAGATGTTTTATCTGCCAAACAGGTTTCACAGGGTTAGGAGATGGACGGCCACCGAGCGCGCTCCCAGCCCTCGGTCTCAGCATGATCCGCGGGCTCCGGGCTTTGGGGCTGGCGCTATTGCATGCGCGAGGCTTCCTCCGTGGGGTACCTTCCTAGGTCTCCCTCCACCCGAGGAAACATCAGGCCTCCCCCGAGGGCGAGCACCACCAGCTGAGACCCTGCCACAGCCTGGGCAGCACGGAGAACGGATTTTTCCTATAAATTGTCCCAGTGTCTGGATTCTGCCCCTGACTAAGCTCAGCAAATCGCAGCCCGGCCAGTCAGGTTTCCCCGATCAGATGAAATATTTGGACCAAGAGAAACGTGTGCTGGCAAATGATAAAGAAGGGACAGAAGTCTGGCCTGCTGCCGTTTGACTTCAACACGACCAGACCCCCGTGGGCACCTTGATTGCAGATGTTTTATCTGCCAAACAGGTTTCACAGGGTTAGGAGATGGACGGCCACCGAGCGCGCTCCCAGCCCTCGGTCTCAGCATGATCCGCGGGCTCCGGGCTTTGGGGCTGGCGCTATTGCGTGCTTGACGCTTCCTCCCGTGGGGTACCTTCCTAGGTCTCCCTCCTCCACCCGAGGAAACATCGGGCCTCCCCCGAGGGTGAGCACCACCAGCTGAGACCCTGCCACAGCCTGGGCAGCACGGAGAACGGATTTTTCCTATAAATTGTCCCAGTGTCTGGAACAGCGTGGCCCCATGTCGGACGGCTTAGAGCACCAGGGTGCCTCTTGCGTTGTCTAATCACCTCTGAATGCCGCCGCACAGACAATACAAATGCCTCTTATTAGCCCCCGTTTCTCAAGCTGGGACACACCTGGTCCGGAGGAGGACGGGCACTGATGGAGGAGACTTGCTTCCCAGGCTCAGAGGACGTCCTGCATTTCTTCTGGGAAATGTGGGGGACCGCATGGCAAGGCAGCGGACGCTGGAAGGTGGGGAGGGAAGCGCGTCAGGAGCTGCTGGCCGGGCTTCAGTAAAAGGCCGTCGGTGCTGCATCGGCGAGCGCTGCCTGTCCTCCCCGTGGTTGGAGGGGCGCCGGGCCTCCGATGGGCACTCCAGGAGCGCCCCCCGGGAGTCACACCAGTTAATAGGCACTTACAGCAGAGTGGTTGCCGATTTGATTGTGATTGGGGGTTATTACCAGTTTTTCCATAAACAGATGGTTACTGCCCTCTGAGTGGCTGGGAGAGCCGTGCCAGCGTCTTGATTTGGAGGGGCTGGCGCCTGCCAACACATCTCAGGGGCTGCTGCCCGCGCGGGTGTCTCGTTATCCCTCTGGTTAGCTGCCCGGTTAAAGAGAAGCACGGGGCGTGGGAAGGAGTCATTCCGCCCCATCTCCTAACCTTGGAACGTGGGCTCAGGGCTCCTTCCAGCTGCATGGGAGGCGGGGGAGGGGCTGGGAGGGGGGTACTGGATGTCCAGGGCTGGAGGGGAATATCATGTGTCCGCAGCCAGGAGCACAGAGCAGGGGATCGGTGCCAGGGAAATAGTGAGGATGTAGATGGAGGCTACTCAGACCATCGAAAGGGGCCCTGGGCCCTGGCGAGGGAGGGCATGGCTGGTGCCATTGATGAGAGCTTCTTTTGCCGGGTGGGGTCGGGTCAAGGGCAGTGCCAAGCAGCAGTGAACCTGGTAAAGAACCTGGCATTCCTGACTTCCTGCACTAAGTCCATTCTTCCTTCTGCTTCTCCAGTCACTGCTCAGTGCTCCCCAAGACCCCAGTGCCTTTGCTCAGACTGCCTCAGAGGGTCCCCACCCCCCAGCCTCATGAGTTCCCAGGTCCCTCTCAGCTCAGTCTTCACGCCCCCACGCAGGCCTGCCTTGGTGCCAGGGCGGGAGGCGGCCCTCTCACTGGCCTTTATAGCCTCACCCACATGCACCTTCCTGCCCTGGCACCGAGGCTTCCTCCCCAGCTCGCCCCTGGTGCCGCCACCGTTAGGGTCAGACAGGCCTGGGGTCGGATCCCGGATCGGCTGCCTGGGAGCAGTGGCGCTCCTGTGACTCATTAACTATCCCGGCCTCCGTGTCCTCGCTGACAAATGAGCGGGATAATCCTTACCAGGCAGGGTTTTATGAGAATTAAATGAAATTATGTATATAAAGCAATTAGCTCCATCCCTGGCCATGTAGTAATCACTCAGTGGCTGTGGCGAGGGGAGCAGTGACGATGGCTTTGGCTCCGTTCATACAGCCGTGAGTAATGCACAGGCCCATCGTGGCTGTGGTCTGCAGCGCCCGGCCGCTCCCCTGACCAGTGAGGTCAGAACCTCAGTCGTTTCTAAAGCCGCCCAGGTGTGCGAGGCCAGTGTGGCCCAGTGGTTGAGCATTGACCCAGGAACCAAGAAGTCACGGTTCAACTCCTGGTCAGGGCACATGCCTGGGTTGCGGGCTCGATCCCGAGTGGGGGGCGTGCAGAAGGCAGCTGATCAGTGATTCTCTCTCATCTTTGATGTTTCTATTTCTCTCTTCCTCTCCCTTCCTCTCTCTCAAAAAATCAATTTTTTTAGAAAAGATCTCAGCTGACCATTTTAAAGCTGCCCAGGTGATGGCAGGGAAGCCACGGTTGTGACCTGAATTGTGGCCTCCCTGCCTCTCTCTGGCAGAGCACAGCCCCTTTGGGGTGTAAGGAGATGGGAGGGAGTGCTCTCATGGACTGGGACCCCTGTATGTGCCAAGGCCTGTGGTGGGCCCTTTATCTGCATGTTCTCATTTGATTTTCACCATGAACTTGAGATACACAAATTACTGTCGCTGTTTCTTATCTGAGCTTCGGAAGGACGAGTGACTCACTTAACGTCCGGCCTCAGCTGGCTTAAGGATGAAGGACCAGGAGACAAGGGCGGGGCCAGGGCACTCTCTCCCCTGTTTCCTCCCCTTCTCTTCCCCCTGCAGCACACTCCTCCAGCGAAGTGACTCTGCACCCGGGTTTCCCGCCCTCTGTGTGGGGGCTGGCCGCCACTCCCATCCTGCAGTGTTAATGACCAGCTGCCTGCTGCTGCTGGGGCCCTGGCCCGCCACCCGCCACCTGCCCTTCCCTGCGCAGTAGGTTGTGCTGTTTGCTTAACAGAGAAATTGAGTGCCTCATAGAGGCTCCCCGTGGCTGAGGGAGGAGCGGTCGCTGGCCAGGAATGGGCGCATTGTTGATGTTTCGGTTTTTATTGCCATGAACTCCCAGGCACGC